ATCAGGCTTAAACTTAGAAGATTCCACCACTATTGCCCTCGTCCACCTGGTTTCCCGAACCTCTGCTATAGGCTCAACCTCGCCCTCAGAGTCTCCAAACTACTTAAAGAGATCCTCAGCCTCTCCTTCTTGCTAAACCCAACTCATTGCCTTGGAGCATCAGTTGCAGCCCTTTGGAGGACAAGTTCGTCTGCAGCTTCTTCATCTAGCCTAACGTCTACTTTTTCAGTAATGCCTTGGGCTGCAAATTCCAAGATAACCAAGGGAAGGATTAGTGGAAAGCAAATTATAAAAGAATCATAAAATACAAGTTAGAAACGACAAAGGTTACCTATTAGAAGAAGCTGGTTCTTCTAATGAATCACCTCTTTCCAGCTTTCAAGCTTGCTCAGCTTGGGATATGACTTAATGATGAGTTGCCCGAAGAAACGATCGTGAGACTCCCTGATATCCACTCCACACTTCTTGGTCCACTTGGCTTCCTACCAAGTAGAAAATGAGGGAGTACACTCGAAGTTTAACGCCACGAGCTTTTAGGTGATTTTGTTCATCACTTCTAAGCTACACCGAGCTGCTCGAAACATAACTTCCAAAGGAGAGTGGAGACGGTAGGAGGTGCCGCAATGCACAGAGTCAAAGAAAGGCACTGCGATGACTTGTCTAAACCTCAGATGCCTACTGTAAAAGTTCGGGTGGTAAACTTCCAGCCCGTGTTCATAACGGTCGCTCATCACCCCCTAGGCTAGATCTCTCTGCTGGATGCAGCTGATAAACTTCTCCTTGCAGAAGGCACTAACATCATCCTCGAAGGCATCCTGGAAGATTTGGTATGAAACCAAGGGTATTTTCTCAGTACTTAAGCTCCCCACTCTAAGTCTGCCCAAATGTGGCAAACTCTAAAGAAGTAGAGACATAAAATGTTGAATGGTTGGTAGGAGAAGCCTCTACTAAGATGCGGGTAGGAGCAACACTTTCAAGGAATTCTAATTTTGGTGCCCAAAGCTCGGGGAAGTACCATTGTAGCCACAACTGGACCATCCAGGTTAGCCCGTTGAGGTTGGTCTCAAAGGGTGTGCCTCTGGTCATCTCATATAAGAGGTGGTAGAGGTGCGATGAGGAATGGCCCCGTAGCTACATCATCAAAAGAGTGGAGAGCTTCCACCAAAGGAATCCACTCAACCTTTACCCATTTAGATTTGTTGAAGAAGACATACTTGTTGAGCCAGTACAAGAGAAAGTACATGTGCTCCTAGTCCTTCTTAGCAAACAGGATGAAGCCTGCGAAAGAGGTCCCATAACTCTTGAAGGTTGAAGGGGTGTACTCCAACCGAGTTATGAGATCAGAAGTGCCCAAGCTCTCAACAGTCAGGCGAGATGGGGAAGACCAGTTGTGGGTAACATCCATGACTCTGCCTGAGGGCCTTAGCCTGAAAACTTGAGCCATATTAAGAATGGTTGGGGACATGGGACCCATCCTGAAATCAAAGGTGTTGGTCTCGTTGTTCCAAAATATAAGAGATGTGGTTAGCAACTTGGGCTTGGCAATCACGGTGATCTTGGAAAGCATTATCAGCTCGTATATGACATTTTTCATCCACTTCTTCATGAAAATAGGCTTAAGCTCGTTTAGCCATTGTGTCCAACCTTCGTCTTTTATCAAAGGAAAACCTTTTCAATGGTTCAACCACTTGGAGGCCGAAATGCCAGCCTTGTCAGAATATGGGTTGGGGGTGAACCATTTAGCCTTGGGCATATTGTTCTTCATAGCAATTGGGATCTGGTCCATGTAGATCCCAGAGAGTGCACTCCTACCTCTTCGAAGAAAAGTGAAGTTTGCAGACCAGCCCAATCGCGATGAAGGTCGTTGGGCAAATGGCGCATGGTGACAATCTGTTTGCCAGATTCACAGGAAGGTTGAACAACTTTGGGTGCCATTGATTGATTTTGAAGAGAAAGTAGGAAATAATTGAAGGCAGAAAGCGAGAAAGAACAAGAAGCAAGAAGGTTCTGGAAAGTCTGAGAATTCTGGAAATTCGAAGGATTAAAATGGCTAAGGTATTTAGCCGAGAGATTTAAGTGAAGATTATATAGTAAGGAAGTTAGTTAACGTTGAGGATCGTGGGTTAGTGTAAAGGTTTCTCAGCCAAGACACAAGCCACGTGTCTATAACATAAGTGACAACTGATAAAGACTAACCTACTATCAACCAAGAAACATTTTCCAGTGGCACTACAAGTTAAAAAATGATGACTTACTATCCTCAAAGAGCTTTCGAGCAAGAGTAGAACTAAAAGCAGTCGGCCCAAACTGCCTATAAAAGGGGAAGCAAGCATCAGGGACAAAGAAACTCACCCATCAAACAAACAAACAAACATACAAACTCTGCTCTTAAGCCAGATTTGCATCCAAAAAGTTGAAATCAACCCAGATTCAGTCCTTTTAGCAATAGTTCTCTTAGAAAAGCGTTATTTTGTCTAGTATAAAAGCTCTGCTACCTCCCTTAGTGTTGTAGTATCGATTCCCTCGTGTAAACCTGTTTACCATTCATCCCTTTTTTAACATACAACCTCTATAAACTCAAAGAGAAATGGCTGCAAGAAGTTCAACCTTGCCAGACAAGGTGAAATCTTTCCAGAGTCTCTTTGTTTGTTCTCTAAATTATTAGATTTATTGCTTAATGCACTTTTCAGCATGTATTCAAGTCATTTCCACTTGTTTTCTATTTTAAGAGTCTCATTTGCATCTAGATCTGGTTAACTTAATAGATATGTTTTCATTAAGAGCAACTTGGAATCAAACAAATGACTTAAAGGGCTCTGGACTCCCTCCATTCGAACATACAAGATCATGAACTAAAAGTCCTTATTTACAAGGCAAGAAAAAGAACTTAATGCAAACTTAACCAATCTGTGACAATCCTTTGATAACAAGAAGTTTGAGTAACTTGGGGCACAAGTAATCAATTTAAAACACACTTGTTCTACATTTGCTATACTGAGATAGCAGTGGCACGCCTAAGCACTTTGTTAGTTTTGATTGCGAGCCTCAAGACCTACTCCTAAGGCCCCACAAAGGCACATTTCATAACTAACTTTGTATTCTTCTTGTAGTGTACCAACTAGCAAGAAGACCCCAACACTCACATCACCAAGTGCCAGAGCTGCCAAGGGGAGCTGTGCAAGGGTCGAAATCTTTGCCCGAATAGAAGGTAAAGCCTAGATCTAAGAGGAATGAGAGAGAGAAAAGGATAGATGAACATATGATTTTGTTTGGCTGAGAGAGAGAGAGAGAGAGAGAGAGAGAGAGAGAGAGAGAGAGAGAGAGAGAGAGAGAGAGAGAGAGAGCTTTGGGTGGATGATAGAAATTTGTGTGGTGTGGGTGGGTTTAAGGGAAGAGAGAAGATGACTGTGGGTGGGCATAAGTCTTTGAGAAAGTAATAAAGTACTAATATAATTGTGTCTTTAAAAGTAAAAATTGGACTCAATTGACATAATTAAGTCCATTTATTTATATAGTTGTCAGAAAAAAATTTGATTTTCAAATTTACATGCTTATTCGTGCTTAGTACAAGCAATAATGTATTAATTTTACATTGGGCACAATACGTGCCCTATATCATATATTGGCACTTTTTCACCTTATTGGTTTTCAGAAAGACACAACCTATTTTTTCTGTCCTTAATTTCGTACCCAAAAGCCATTTTTCTTATAATGAGAGATTCGTCATTCTGAGAAGAAGGAAGAAGATTTGTTAGAATAGCGATTTCTTTGTTAAGCAATAAGAAACTTATGATTTGATAAGCACTACATCTTTAGTTACTGGAATCATGTAGTAGGATTCTCTCCTCTGTTTTTTATCCTCCCCTTTCCTGGAAACATCTTATATTTATTTTTTAAAGAAAGAGAAAGACAAAATAAAGAGTGTGAGAGAAGGTAAGACCATCTCCAAAAGAGATGTCAAATTTTGAACATAAAATTTAAATTTTGAACATAAAATTTAAATTTTGACAACTTATGTGGTACTTTGACATCTTTTAAAATTTTGTTCTCCAACTGATATGTCAAATTAAATTATTATTTGATTATTTTATATAATAAATTATTAAACTAATTAAAAATTAATATATGACATTTAAAGTTTAATCAGTAATCTGTTCACATTCCTTGACTGAAAAGAAGAAAAAAATAAGAAAATTGCATCGGTCAACTCAACATAATTATAATAAATGATTAAACTAATTAAAAATTAATAAAATACATTTAATAATTAATTAAAAAAACATTTGAAGCTGTTGTCAAATTTGACAACAACATTTTTTTTCTGCCAATCCATGTCATCGCCACATAGGATTTGACACTGAGAATATTAGTGTGATCTTTTTTTTACTATTATAATTTATGTGTATATTTTTTACATTTCCTTTGAAGATATTTAAAAAAAATGAAAAAAGAAGAAAAAAGAATCTTAGTCCTAGAATCATATTTAATCCTCTAATTTTTTCGGAAAGGTGGACGGGTTCCGTGAAAGGTTGAAGTGTGGGTGGGCCACAGGTTATTCAAAAAATAATAAAAAATAAATATGTGAGCTTATGTTCTAAAAAATCAAGACAAATAGGGCAAAAAAATTATTTTTATTTAAATATAATAATACAAAGGACACAAAAATGATTTTCGTGTTCTTGTAAATTAATAAAAAAAACCTAGAATTACGGATATCGAGAAGTCACTTCCAAATTTTATTGATGGTACATACAAACTTTCGTGCTCATGCTCAAGTTTTAATAGGAACAAATACACTTTCCATTTTTTTTTTGGACACAAAGTAAGGGAACGTTTGAAATAGTTTTGTGTTCAATAAAATTTAAAAAGCACAAATATGCTTTTGTGCCATTGAAAATGAAAAGGGCACAACTCAATTGTGGTCTTAGCCTATTTTTATTGTAGTGCCGTTTGCTTAGTTGCTAGCTCCAGAGGCCGACAGGTGTCACTAGTTTAGTTTCTCTTTGGCTCATATATTTAAATGACACTATTGCTTAGAATGTGCGGCACTGTATTTCTAATTATTATTTTTATGCTTGAAGCCGATGATGTTGGAACAAGTTTTGTCAGATCAGGATAGTGAGGATGAGGTTGATGATGATGTTGCTGATCTTGAAGATCGAAGGGTATAATACTAAACCTCCTCTCTCTTGTGCAATAGCATATGTTTCTTAGGCAACTAATTTTCGGTCAGACATGACCTTTATTAATGGCTGATCGAGCCATCGAGGAAAAGATTTTCTTGCCATCTGGACTTGTTTTAAGTTCTTTGTATTCCCGTGCACTGATGTATCTGCGCTGAACATATGGGAGCTTATTTGGGAATATATTAGCTCCACCTTACATTGATGTGGCATCCAGCAAATGAACAAGTGATATTTTACTCTATTGTAGATGCTTGATGATTTCGTTGATGTGACAAAAGATGAGAAGAAAATAATGCATATGTGGAACTCCTTCGTGAGGAAGCAACAGTAATTTCTCTATACTTCTTAATTCTTTCAATAACAACTGTTGGACTTGGATATCAAGTGGCACTTTTGGTAGGGCTCTTCATTTGCACTAATAATTGTTTGGGTTAAAACTTGAACTTTGGGCTCAAGAAGGAGTTGGCCCAAAAGGAGGTCTGGAAAGGGGAAAAGCCCGAAGCCCAGCCAAAGCCCAGAAGGCAGAAAGGCCTTTCCCGACTAGGTGCAGATCATTTGAACCACTTGCTCACCTACTTAGGGGTCAAGTGGTGTAGACCAGCCAGCTAATCAGCCTAAAAGCATTTTACAGGGGCAGTACAAGTAAATAGCTGATGAGTCATTACCCTTCAAGCTGCATTCGGGCAAGATTACTGCTACAGGAGGCCAAGCCGAAGTGTCTATAAAAGAAAAAAGAGAAATCAGAGATAAGGACACTCAATCAAACAAACAGATACAAGTACAAACTCTGCTCAAAGCCAGATTTGCCTTCAAACGAAGCTGTAGTCAGCCCAAGCCTTCATTCCTCTCGGGATCAACCCTCACCCAAACCTTTTGTAATAGCTCTGCTACCTCGTCTTAAAACTTGTTGTAGTATCGATTTCTTCCTGTAAACTCACTCCCTACCCCCCCTTTCTAAAGCTCTCAAACCCCTTGATAAACCACAAAGATAGGAAGTTGCAAGACGATCAGCCTTGCCCGACCCTCTTTGGTTTTGTCTTTTCATTCATTAGCCTAGCAATATGTTGTATACTTCCAGTTGTATTGAAGTTATTTCTAGTAAGATGACGATTAAAAGACTCTCTCAATTCTTGAATCCGATTTGAATATGTCTTCACAGTTTAAATCAGATCTAAGTTCTAAGCTCTCGGGCATGTAAGATTGATCATTCAAAAGTCCTTGGTCTCAAGGCATAAAAAAGAACCTTATGTGGACTTAACCCATCCACGACAAGCTTTGATAAACAAGAAGTCCGAAGTTACTTGAGGCGCAAGTAATCGACCTATCTCTTAGTTTTATTTCTATTATATTATGATTATAGTAGAACGTTTGAGTATAGAAGGAATTCTGATGGGAAGCCTCAAGGCCTATATCTAAGGCCCTACAAAGGCACCTATTTGGGTTCATTCTACTCTGCGAGCTCGGATAATCAGAAGTATAATGGTTATAACGGTTCTGCAATCAATGAAACAGACATCGTATATTCGAGTGCTGGGTTAGTTCTTGATTGAAAGCCTCAAGGCCTACACCTAAGGCCCCACAAAGGCACCTGTCATAACTAACACAGCCTCTCGGGTATATGTACAACTAAAACTCAACATCTATTTTACATCTGCCATGCTAAAGATGACAATGGCACGCATGAGCACTTAAAAGTTAATCTTGATTGTGAGCCTCAAGGCCTATACCTAAGGCCCCACAAAGGCACCTTTCAAAGTTAACTATGTCCTTCTCTTTCAGCCTTGCCCGACAAGCCCGCCAGTAAAGCAGAAGCCTGACAGAAAGCATCAACCGGCGCCAACCTCTTGGGGAGCTGTGTGCTCGTCGGCTAGGAAACATCCCCGACGGAAATTCCAGCCACGAACAATAATGCTCAGTGATGGACAAGCACTGGACCAAAAATAAAGGGACAAGTTCATTTTCGTATGTGGAAGAACATTATTTTTCTCTCGATTCTTTATGACATATTTTGTGTAATGTTTAGCAGGGTATTGGCTGATGATCATATTCTTTGGGGGTGCGAGGCAATTTTGAGGTTGCACGGGCAAGATCTTGTCAAATATCCTGCTCTGATATGGTAATAATTGCACTCATTTGATCGTTAGTTTCTTCGAATTTATTGCATCTAGTCATTTACAACCCCCTTTATCTAATTTTTCTAATCCATTCCTAACAAATTAAAGCCTAAGTTTCATGAACTTAAAAGTCCCTCGTTCAAACGTACCACTAAAGACTATATGTACAGTGGCGTTCACATAAGGACCTAGTTTAAGTATTTAACTATTTTCACTCTTTGCCCTCAAGATTTTTTTGTCAGACCTTTTCTTTGGTTTTAAGTTTAAGGACGTCACCTTCAGTATTGAACAGTTTCTCTGTAAAGTGATTTTGTCTTTGCATCATTCCTGCCCCTGTCCAGCCCCTATCAAGCGAAAGCCATCCGGAAAACACCTAGTATCATTTGACTGACTGTTATATGAGAAGAAGATAATTTGTCTCTTCACGCGCTTGATGCTTTACGTATTGCCTTGGAGGAAAATGTAGCATTATCATGCTTTGCTTTTGATTAGCATTTCTGAATCTCAAACAACGACTCACTTTGGCAGGTGTTGGAGATTATTTATGCTCAAATTGTGGAATCACGGTCTCCTTGACGCACGGACCATGAACAACTGTAACATAATTCTTGAACAATGTCAAAGCCCAGCGTCGGAACCCCAAAGTTGAAAGAGTATTTTGTTGCTTCCATTTTGTATTATGTTTGCTTATTTCGTTGTTGGGTGAAAGATTTTTCCGTGCCTATTGCCTTTGTTGTAATGAGCTGTATGCGATTTTCCAGATGAATGTAGAACAGTACTATATGTATCCATGTATATTAAAAATATGAAAGAAAACATAGCAAAGATATTTCAACAAATGTCTTAAAAAAAATTTTAAGTTCTTTCTTTACAGTGATTTAGTGTTCAGGTTATGTTTTAGTTGCCTTTTTTTTTTAAATAATTTAGTCAAGCTATATGAATAAAACTAACTAAATTGATAATAACCAGGAATAATTGCAATTTGAATCTATGCTTAATAGAAAGATAAGAGTACCAATTTTGGTGCAGACTTAGGTTTAGTCAAGTTGGTTAGCGTGCTCTTTTGCTTTACTTTCAAAGTCCGAGTCTTTATTTTTGTAGTACAGATGAATTTAGTGTAGAACATTTTTGAAAAATATGTGTCCTTTCTATGGGGAAACCTATTTGTCCCTTCACTTAAGATTAACGTATCTTTATCGTACAAACATCATATTCAAATTTTTTTTTTTTCTTTTTTATCATCATCGAAAGATCATCATTGCACAAAATTATTTAATTTGAAGATTATTTAACCATCTTTTCGTGTGAAAATCAATCGATGATTTTAATATAAAGCCCATCATAATAAATTGCACTTTTGTTGATGCATATGAATTATTTGGAAAAAAATTTTGGTCCGGATCACCACCATACGATGTTGCGATTTCACTAAAATTATAGCACTTCACTAAAATTATAGCACGTTTGTTTATGTACTTTTTTATTAATATATTCTAAAGTTGCGACATCAATTTTATGCTTATCCATGTTATAAAAAAATTTCGGTTATTAACGCATCATTATGATGTGCCAACCATTAAATTTGTCCCAAGTCATGGAAATTTTTCAGTATATCATAAATACGATCTGATATATTAAGTGTCTTAATGCTATTGGTTGGTGGTTTTTTTATTTTATTTATTTATTTAATTTTTTTTAAGTTTTCAATCAATTGTATTATTACACTTGGATCCCTACACCTGCATGCAAACTGACACCAAACCATCCTCTTACGTACCACCATCGTTTTACATGTGAATCAAGACTGGATATAAGGTGCTTACAGGAAGCAAGCATTTTCCACACCATTCAAACAAGTTCCTCATCACCAAAACTCCATCTCTCCCTTTACTTTCCCCTCTCTTTCTCGCTACAGGTTAATGGAAGCCTCACTGGGCACTGTTGCCCTAACTGTTGTTTTGGTTAGCATTGTAGCGTGGGCATGGAGTTTGCTGAATTGGGTGTGGTTCAGGCCAAAGAAATTAGAAAGATACCTGAGGCAACAAGGCTTGGCGGGCAACTCCTACAGACTTTTGTTTGGAGACTTGAAAGAAAGCTCCATGATGCACAAACAAGCAAGATCCAAACCCATGAACCACCTCTCACATGATATAGTGCCACACATCCTCCCTTTTCTCCACCAGACGGTGATCACCTACGGTATGTCAAGTCTTATTTGTCAAATATGTATGTATATATGTGTGTGTGTGTGTGTGTGTGTGTGTGTGTGTGTGTGTGTGTGTGTATACTAATTAGTATTGTGAACTCTCACCGTATGCCAAATATTTGATTACATTCATATCACCATACATGTGTAGTACTCTGTATAAGTTAAACATGACATGGATTAGTTAATTAAACAAAAACTAAAATTTGCAGGTAAGAATTCTTTTATTTGGATGGGGCCCACCCTGAGGGTGAACATTTTGAATCCAGAAGATTTGAGAGATGTCTTAAACAGATATGATGATTTTCGGAAGCCACTTAGTAATCCAATTACAAAGGTACTTTCACAGGGACTCGTAAATATTGATGGTGAGAAATGGACGAAACACAGAAAGATTATCAACCCAGCATTCCATTTAGAGAAGCTAAAGGTATTGTACTGTATATTTCCAACATGCATTCAAAGTTTCTTTAGTTTTCTTTTTCTTCTGTTCTTTTTGCATGAACAATACCTGGAGATCTAATTAACAATTGTGTGTATTTTATAAGTAACTAGCCTCCCTGTCGTTTTTCATTGTTCATATACTCCACCAGCACTATGAACAATTATTGGAGATCTATATATATATGGTGATAAAGCGATAATTACTAATTCTTCTCATTGCAGTTTATGGTACCGACATTTTACCAAAGTTGTAGCGAGATGATTGACACATGGGAGAACTTGATGGTCAACGAGGGTTTATTGGAGTTGGATGTGTGGCCTTGGCTTCAGAGTTTGGCAGGCGATGTGATTTCTCGAGCTGCATTTGGAAGTAGCTATGAAGAGGGAAAGAAAATATTCCAACTGCTGAAAGAGCAAGCGAGAATTGGTGCAACACTTCTAAGAAGCGCAACAAGTGTCTATATCCCAGGATGGAGGTAAAATTTAACTTTTTTATTGGAAAGGGAAAAAAATTACTACTATTGTAATAAGTTCTTCTTTGTGCAGGTTTCTACCATCAAAAATGAACAAGAGGATGAAGGAAATTAATAAAGAGATAAGAGTTTTAATCATGGATATTATAAACAAAAGAGAAGGAACGATTAAGGCAGGTGACGACATTAATAAGGATGATTTATTGCGTATGCTTTTGGAGTCCAACTCCAAGGAAATTAAGGAACATGAGAACAACAAAAACGTTGGAATGAGTATTGAAGATGTGATTGAGGAGTGTAAGCTGTTTTATTTTGTCGGGCAAGAGACCACTTCAGCATTGCTTGTTTGGGCAATGGTTTTACTAAGCCACAATCAGAATTGGCAAAATCGAGCAAGAGAAGAAGTCTTGCAGGTTATTGGAAGCAATAACACACCAACCTTTGATGCGCTAATGCACCTACATGTTGTAAGTGTCTAATGTTTTCTTGTAAACTAATTATATGTATAAACTTGTAATTTGAATGTTTTATGTCGCTTACATGAAACAATTAGCTGCACCTATAATATGCCCCAGGTGACCATGGTCTTACTGGAAGTTCTGAGATTATACCCACCGGGTGTTGAGGTGTCCAGAATCACTCACAAGAAAACACAACTTGGGAAATTATCATTACCAGCTGGAGTCGACGTCTATGTACCCATACTTCTTGTTCACCATGACAAAGAATTGTGGGGTGACGATGCAGATGAGTTCAAACCAGAGAGGTTTTCAGGAGGAGTTTCAAAGGCAACAAACAACAGATTCACATACTTCCCCTTTGGCGCTGGTCCGCGGATTTGCATTGGCCAAAATTTTGCTATGATGGAAGCAAAACTGGCCTTATCATTGATCTTACAACATTTTACCTTCGAGCTCTCTTCATCCTATGCTCATGATCCTTTAACATACACAACTCTTCAACCTCAATCTGGTGCTCACATAATTTTACGTAAACGTCGTTATTAGTTTTGTTAAGTATCGATGTTTGACATTAAAGTTCTAAACCATGTATTGTGTTGTAATGCATATATTTTCGCTAAATAGAACTTTGCCGCCTAATATGTCTTGCATGTTATTTCTAGCAGCTGCTTGTTAAGGAAAAACTTAGAGTACACAAGTAAACAAATTACTTGTATTACACACACAAAATATTACAACACTCAAAAGGACACAAAGACACACTTTAGAAGCAATGACACTCACTCACTTTCTAGAGACAAACTCTAGATCACTCACACTCCTCACAAGACTACTCTTACTTTTCACTCACACTTGGTTACTTGCTTGCTTGATTACTTCTTTCTTATTTTGTTGCTTTTCAAGACACACACACACACACACACCTATTTATAGGTGGTGTTCATCAACTTTCCCTCTGCCCACCGACATGGGCATTACATAATGGCCACACAATTGTTATAATAGCTAGACAATTCTAGCTTGTTCCCACCGACATGCTTGCTAGAACTTTCTAGCAAAATCCCATGTATAATTCATCTAGAACATCAAGACTTCATAATGGGCTAGGCTTTAAGTTATGGGCTGGTGTTGTACTTTCAACACTGCTACATAAGAATGAGCTAGATATAGATAGGCATAGTGACGCAGTGAGTTCAGCTTCGCCTGCAGGACGTGGCCTCGGGTAAGAATATTATTATAACCTAATGTGGTGCACATGATATGGTCCGAGTGTGATATATTCAGTTTAATGGATATTATTGTGATGGGTGATAAATAATTATGAGTTTCAAGGAAACAGGTTCTCTCTATCTATAACAATGCACAT